TGGGTCTAAAAATAAAACCCCACGCATGCAGCTGCTACAATGCTGTGACATTCACCATGTACAGCTAAAAATAAAAGGGCTAGCAGAGGGTCTCGCTGCAGGGCCACTGCCACAGGTGGCTCGGCTAACCAGGCTGGAAGGTCTGCGGGGAGATGTTAGGATCATCCCCTGGCTTCCCAACACGGCAAGCAATTAAAAATGCTGCTGCTGGAGGATTTGCTCATGGCACAGACCGAATGCTGGTGAAGTAGTGTTGCTGATTGCCAGGAGAGCTGCCGAGCTGAGCCAGAAGCAGAAGAAAGCTGAAAGGAGGAGACAGTTTGGGATGCCCTGGGGTGGCCAAGGTGCTTTGCCCTCCATTTTGGGGCGAGGGGAAGCACAGATTCCCCCCTGCCTCTGCGCTGGGGAAAGGTTAAAATCGCCCGTAACTGGAAACTGGAGCTCTCCTTTCCTGGCAGCAGCTGCAGCACCGGATTCCCCGTGGTGACCCGGCCTTGGAGGATTGCCACCAACGCTGAGCCGGCTCCCCGACTTGCCTCCCTCACCTCTCTTGTGCAGCCAGCCCTCCTTCACGACCGACACTTCGTTCATGGTGGTGCCGTGGTCTCTAACCCCCTCTCTGCTGCAGGACTGGGGAAGCGGCTAACACCGGTGGTGGCAGCTCTGGGAGAAACGGCGAGAGCAGAGACGACCTGTGGGAGAAGAGAGAGATGCTCAAAGAAAGGCAGCAAAGCTCCTGAAGCTTTTCTTTCCCTTCCCTTGAGGGGAGGCAGCTGGTTTCAGCATGAAGCCGCCCCCACGCACCAATTAAAAACTCCTCCGCTGTACCAGTTGGCCCCCCACCCCCTCCCCAAAAACCCCAAAATTAAAAATCATCATTGCAGCCTTGCAAGCCTGGAGGTGCCAGGATGGAGCAGGTTTGTCAGCATTGTCCCTTTACCTGGCCACCACACGACGAAGGATTAAAAAGCCTCGGGAAGGTTGGACAAACTCGGGGGAGGGGGGG